GTTTTGTTGCTACGTATCTTCTGCCTGCGCACTAGCGCTCACTCGTGCAAACCACTGTTTCACGAAATATTGCAAAACATTTTCACGCGTGTTCACATCGTGGAGGGTATCAAAATTTCCACATGGGTAGGAAGTGGTAAAACGACTGGTATCTTGAGTTGATTATCATCTTTTCAAAGGAGACACTATGTGATAATGTTGAACTGTATCTGGAGTGTAAAGCTGTCTTGAAGGACGGATGCTAATAACCCGCGGTTTGTGGATTTTACCCCAGTAATGTGTTATCTCTCCAAAAAGTATATAAAGAGTGAAATAGTCAACATCGCCTTCATTCTCGATTTCATTCTTCCTTCTCTGGCCGCATACTTTTGTTCTATGGGTTTCATCCAGGTATTTTTTTCTCTCCGACAGCGAGAAAAAATATATAAAGAAAGAAAAAAAGCAACATCGCTTTCATTTTCGATTTTACGTTTCTTCTGCAGGTGAGATTCATTGAGAGAATGAGGGTGTAGATATTTAATTCGGTTACCCCCACCCCTAACTTCACCCTTAATGATCTGTCATTCCTTTCTTTTCAGACAAACGGCTTTTTGCCCAGCAAGATATCAAAAGTGTGATGTTAACGTGAATACAGACTTGAATGGAACCGAATGGCAACGCTGAAACTACGAGGGATGCTAATGCACAGGTGATTAAAAAGTGGCTCGACTATGTTAAAAGTTTTGGTCCGAATGAGATACCGGCTGATGGATGCAAATATATCTGCGACACACTGAGTAACTCTCGATCGAGCGTCGGTTTTCATGAAAATATCGCCACGGACAGGATTGTTCAAGTCGATGAATATTTCCATGGAAAAACTGGCGGCGAAAAAGAATGGAAGATCCGGTTTACGATCGACGCCGACGTGCCTCCAGAACATAGCAGTCAGAAACCTCATATCGGCTATACAGTTGAATTGAGTCCAGTAACAGGAAATCATAGAAGGTTTAATGGCCATATTTTCCTACCTTCAGGTGTTCTGCCGATGGGTAGACCAAGCACACAGGAATATATGGATGATCATACAAATGGGGAAGACCACCGCGACTTCGGACAGAAAGGGCATGCCAGTTGGAGGCGTGTTTATCAGAAGAAGCGGAAGTGAAAACTATACGCTTAAACAAAATTTCTCTTGCTTATTTTTCTACGATCGAATGCGATATAAACCAACAATCAACCAACAATCTCTACAGAGGCATCTGCTCGTCAAAAAGTAAAATATCATCAGGTTTATATACTGATCGAAGTAATAAAGAACGATTTTTCTTCCTATCCAAACAAAAGCACTCCAAAACATTTCAGCCTAAAATTCAGCAAATTCT